CATCCCATGGATGACCTCCATCAAAAATCTTGCAGCTCGCTTCCTGCGCATTTCGAGCCACGGAGAGGACAATTCCTTGCGGTGGCCAAGATTATCTACTTGAGAAGACTGACCACTTCGCCAGTCACAGAGTGTGTCTATGAGAGCGATAAGCCTTATTCATGAGAAATGGACAAGTTGACCTATCTTCAATTCCTTGGGAGTGATTCTTTGCTCAACGTTTCTCACCTCTTGAAGCGTAACTTTGTAGTAAGCACTTTCAATATGACCATGTTTCCAGGCCTGATATGTCATGGCAAGTGCCCAGTTGGCCTGGTATCCAATATTTCGGCGAGGAGCCATTGTATGACTTGAATATCTCTTTTTCATGGGGTAGCATGAAACCTAGAAACTGGATTGATCCAAACTGAATTCGGCTAGTTGCTAGACTAGGCGCAGTTCGGCTTGGTGGGGGCACGAGATGGTACCACGCTCGCGCTGAGTTGTACAGGTCACCTTGTGAAGACTGTAAATTCCTGTGAGCAAAGTGGCTCACTCGAACCATTTCGCAGCTTCACAAGAGTTTACAGGTTTCCCTGGGTAGGACCTGCTATTCAATATAAAGTGGCAAAAGGAACTAGCAAAAGTGCCAGATGCCCCTCCAAGCTGAACAGCGCCAAAATACGTCAACTGTATTGGCTATTCATTTGATACCTGCAGCGACGATAGTGTCCAGTGTAGGGAATCGCCGTCTGACTCGCATACTTACATCTCGAAAGACAAGTACCTGAACGGTTGTTATGATCGGGTATTTCCTTGAGAAATATCATTCAGCAAATGGGAAATCCGTGTCATTTTTCCAACATGGCCATTTCGCTATTCACTTTCGACACTTGAGTAAACAGTTTTGTGAACGATATCTACGGGAAAACCAGTTTAACATGCATGACCTTGCGGAGGTTTGAGTTCTTATTTTATTCAGGAGCGTTTTGAATATGAAGTTTTACGGTTCTTTCGAAACCGATCAGCATACCAGCTATCTGTGGAGTTTTTCAAAAAGTTTTGCGAGCGCAAGGTCCATTGTCGAAAAGTACAAGTAAAACTGACCTGAACTAATTCGCAATAGCGGAGAATATTTCGCCTGTACATTCGAGCTTGTTCAGATCTTCCTCGGACGTATAAGGCAGACATTAGACCAATGATGAAAAGTAAAATGTTTCAAGGATTGAAGGGCACCGTGTTCGTCAATACTTTTAGAATACACCACAAATATACTTTTAGAATACGGGCATGTCGTACGTCGGGTGGAGGGGGGGGTGTATTTGATTGCTAGAGTGTAGGGATTATATCCGGTCTGGGAAGTTTCTGAATGTTAGTTTTTGCCAAATCACGTGTGCCGTACACACCTATGGTCGTCGGCCCCACAAAACCACTGGTTCCTAGTAATTCATTGGAGGCGTTTGGCCCTACCCCCTTACCTCTTTTTGACAGTAAAATTCTAAAAAAATAATTGAAAATACGGCCTATCGGATGTGAGAGGGAGTCGTAGCGGATAACATAATTGTCTTGACGCTTGTAGATATGTAAACCCTTGTAAAGCTAAGCAGTAGCAGTAGTTCGTTTACACTTGACAAGAGTTCACACGTCTCACCAAGCAGAGACGTGTGAATCAAGAAGGGATCGTAATAGAACTTAGCAAACTAAGAAAATGCCACCCCTTAAGTTGGACGACGCTTGCCTTCTGAAGAATCTCATTCAACCCCGTTCGCATTCCATTTCATATTCGATTATTTTCAAAATCATCCACTGGTCGTCTATCTCAGAAAGCCACACTAAGTGTACTTCTTGTTAATTGATTTGACGTACTTGTCGATGAATAGCCAATCGATATCGTAGCGCTTATATCCACTGTTGAACACCTGAAGTGCCAAAGAAAAAGCCAAGCACAAGTTCTAGCGGAATATAGTCGAGCCGGGCATCGAAATATCTCACGACTCTTTCGAAATTCCTGCAAATTAGTGTCGGGTAAGTTCCAACATTCTGCCAGCCGTGAATCTCTTCTCTCCCCTAGAAAAACGGGAAGACCGCAAGCATCTAGCCACCGCGCGGTCGGCGCACCGGGTGAAAGATCCAACCACCTGTTCAGGGAGATTTTGAAGCCTTGAAACAAGGTTGTGTTCGGAGTTTGACTTTCCCTTTTTCAGAAGCCCAGAGCCTTTGCAGTTCATAGGAATTTCGATACCACTACGCCGCACCGCTACCGCGACACAAGCAGGTGGATCCCCCTCAGCCCCTTTTTCCCTTTTTGGGGCACCGTTGTCAGAAATGACTTACAGTTGTTGCGATTTGCTGAGAGCACAGCGATAGATGACAGAAATGATCCCATAGATGATCAAAAAACATATAAGCTCCATGTAGACGGCTTTCCATATGCTTACCTTTCCAATTTGAAAAGTAATTTGAAGAATGTCCATGGCCTACTTGTTGAAGCGGCTCTGTGGTAATTGACAGTCATTCGGGATACCTGACTGAAATAGTCATAAATTAGTAGTTATTGTTTCGATAATTATCAGACAGCCATATTTGATAAGTGTTGTGGGAATGTCACTAACAAAGCATCACGAGGCAGGGATCGGCGTCGTTGGCAACGCGGGTCGGGCATTTGCAGTCTTAACACTATCCCATCGGACATGTCGACCCATCTAGACAGCCTTCTTCCTCTTTGACAGATTTTACCATGATGGCTTGACGAGCTTGCTCCAGCTTCACAAGAGTTCACAGGTTTCACCAGAGTGAGACTTGTAAACCAGAACTAGTGAAGCAACGAAAGTGCAAAATGCCCCCTCCCCCGTCGGCAAACTGCGCCGGCAGGATCTATTCATTTTATACTTCACGACCACTCCTTAGCTTTCAAAACGAGATACGTAGGCGCTCTCAAAAGCGAGCGCAGAGCTGAAGCTGTTAGACTACTTGAAAGAGCAAGGAGGAGGTGTAGGCGTTCACGCTGTAGACTTTTGGGCGTGTCAGCTGGAAGAGTTTGGCGATGCACCAACCCGTTCTCCACCAATTGTTGTCGCTTGCTCGCTTCAACAATTGTGGAGAACGGCCTCGAGCCGCTCAAACCCAGCCTCATGGACGACCTAGCGTCTGCAGCGAGAACGACTTCATAGTGAAAGGAAGGGGCACAGTATGTCGTAGCGACAAGTTGCATTGGTTCAAAGGGCACCCCCAACCCTTCCACCTCCGCTCCAAGTGCAACTCTCTTCAACATAGAACTCTCGCTACCCTCATGTATCCCCATTTTTACCACCAACTATCTAAAGAGCGCGTCATGGGAACGAGTGAAAGTATGAGGGAGGAGGTAAACTGCAGCAGAAATCATAAAAATTTCGGCCAGCAACCAGTAAGATGCCCACACTAAGCTGAGCTGTGCCACAAATTTCTAATCTATCATGAAATTTTCACACCTTTAATGGGAACCCCTCCTAGCTGACCAAATTCTGTTTCCTACTCGGACAACCAAATAAGGCCGTCCTATTGAGCATTCCTCAAAAGGATATAGTAAGATGCCCTTCGACCCCGCAACTGTGCAGTGACAAGGAGAGGCGTGCAACAAATGTGTGGATCTCTTGGGATTTGGGATACTACTGGTGATGAACTATACAAAGACATGTGGTAATTGCAACGGCTAGTTGAAACTTTGCTCATGATTTAGATAGAGAATTTTCTTCGTTTTACCAATTTTGTATAGCTAGAGAAGAGTAGGGAAAGGGTAGTAGATGATTGAGGTGGGGGAGGGGTGGACTCGGAGAGCAGATGTGTCACTTTTACCTTCTTTTTATTGCTTCTGTTTCATGGTGCTAACCCAAAACCCATTCCTATGACGCGAAATGGAGAAAATTGAGAAAAGAGAAACAAAATTAAATTTTGCGTAGGTGAAAGAAAATCGACCCGTAAAAAGGTGGCTGAAAGTGGCGGAGT